GATTCAAAGCCAGTTCCTTCTGGCCTCCAAGCCGTCTCTGATCAGTAACCAGTATTGGACACCTTCTGTCTGTGAAGCAGAGAGGCGTATAAATAGGGATGTGTCAGAATGGAGCTTTGCGGTGCAAAAAGCACACACACTGATCCAGAGCCCGAGGAATGGGAGGTTGAGGTGCACTGCAGACCTCAGGGGCCATTGCGGTGCACGCTGGGAGAGGTGGGTAGATGTGGCCGGGCAGAGTGGCGGTTTTGCTCAGTGAATGCCATCCGACAAGCTGCTGGGAGCGTCCCTCTCAGGTTTCGTCTCCTGGGGGAACACGTCTGTGCCAGCCCTGAGGGCTCTTCTCCAGGAGCTGCTCTGTGTTGAGTATGAGAGAGCTGAAGAGAAGGGAAGGGTCTCTTGAAGCCAGAGTGGGCAGATCTAGCCAGCGCTCAGGTTGGGGTGTTGGGGGGCGGGAGTTGGAGGAGCTCACGGCGCCGTGCCTGTCCATCCCCAGACCTCCGTGCTGGCGGTGCAGTTCATCGAGGCCATCGTGGTGTTGGTACGGCAGACATCGCACATGCGGGTGACCCGGGCACTGCGCTGCATTTTCCTGGTGGACTGTCGGTACTGCGGTGGCGTCCGGCGGTAAGGCCTGGGGGAGGAGCTGCTCAGACAGTCGCTATCATGGCCCAGCCTGGACCTCTGGGCCAGTGGAGCAGGACCCAGTGAGTCAAGTAACGATAAGATCCATCCTGCATGTGGTAGAATCTAAGCACAGTCACGTCCCGCTGCCGTTCCTCCCACACAGAGGAAGGTGGTGTTCCAGCCGAAGGTGAGGTGTCCTCACTCTGGGTCCAGGGCTCTTTCCCGTCTACCCACAGTCTTCTGGGGCTGACTTCTCTCTCCGAGCACATTATCTGCATGAATGCAGCAGCAGCGGCGGCCTAAAGCAGGCACCTTGGCAAAGTTTACGTTACTTAACAGACTGTCCTCTACCTCCCCCGATACCAGGGGACCGAACTCAAACCAGGCCATCAGCCTAGAGTTAAACTTAGTTTCGAAGACTCCGTCCAGAAGCTCTCTTGGCTGGGGTGCTGTTGATGAGAATGGACTTGCAATTCATTCTTTGTGCCCATCCTCAGAACCGGACACTAGAGTCCTGGGACTAGGTGGCTCCGAACTGTCCTCATGCTTCCCACCTCTCATGGAAGCTGACCTTTGCGCCCAAGGCCATGCACTTGGCCTTCTGCAGCTCCCTGTGTCTCTTGCGGGGCACACACCTGCTTGGGCTCTGTAGGCAGGAGGGGGCAGCTGTGTGTGCTACACCTGCCTCCGTTCTCCCCGCCACCCACTGAGTGGAAGTCATCTAGGACAACACTAAGCAGAATGTCACGAGCCAGGGCACAATGGGATTTAGTGTTCTGTGAGTCAGGCACGCCAGGCTCCCGTCTTGACAAAAGCACACCCCACTGAGGAGGCCCAGACCGCGCTCCTTGGGCCTTTCCCCGCCTGCACCTCACCACCCCCCGCCCCGGCCCTGTCTTCCTCCCCAGCAACCTCCGGCAGATCTTCCAGTCCTTGCCACCCTTCATGGACATCCTCCTGTTGCTGCTCTTCTTCATGATCATTTTCGCCATCCTCGGTGAGTTCCCTGCGCCCCAGGACCCAGGCGGTCTCCAAAAGCAATTCACAGTGGAAGAGAAATTCACTTTGACAGTTTGAGAAATTCAGAAAGGTTTTACGAATGATATGAACACCCATGGGCTCCCGCTTAGGAAACGAAGAATTAGAAATGAAATGGAAGCCTCCTTCGTATCTATTCATGATCTCGGTGCCCTACCCCCCCGAGATACTGCGTCCTAAGCTTAGCATCGCCAGGCATGTCTTATAGTTTCATGTTTCCTGAAGCAACAAGCAAATGGTATTGTTGCTTTGCATATTTAAAAAAATTATATAAATAGTTACGTAACGTGCGTGTCCCTCTCCAAGGTGCTCTTCGCTCAACATTATCTGTTTGAACTTTATCCGTGTGGATACACGGAGACGATGTTTGTTCATTTTGCACTGGAGTGTGGTGAACATGCCCGGATTTATTTCTCTGTCCTCTTGTTGGTGGCCCTTTTTCGCAATCACAAGTCACACTGCAACCAACACTCTTGTGTGTTTCCTGGTGTACACACACGGCGGTTTCTCGGCAGCGTATGGCGGACATGAAGGTCTGCACGCTTCAGCTGCACTAGATGTAAGAGCAAGGCCTCGGCCTTTCTAACCCCGAGGAGGCCTGGCCTCTTCAGACGAGGCCAGGCGTTCCCACACCCACACCCACACCCAGACACAGGGTTTGGACAGCAGAGATCTCGCAGCACCGTGAGGAAGCCCGAGGTCCCTTCTCTGGTCCTGGCATGGTGAAGACAGTGGAGCCAGCGTGCCCTGACTCTAAGGCCAGCCCCCGGCCCTTGTGACCGATCCGTCCTGAGCCATTGGCTCCCCTTCCACCTCCCCTTCACCCCAGTCCCAGTGGAACGTCCTCTGTGCTCCGAGGGGGCTGACTTCCCCCACAGACAGAGTTTCTCCCTTTTCCCACCCAGGGTTTTTAGGACTCGAAGGAGTAGCCCATTCCAAGAGGGAGGACAGGAGTGGTGTTCATGCCCAGGACCCTCGGCTGCAGGGGAGCAGTGGGGTCCTTTTGGAATCGTTACTTGGCCGTCGTGGTCTCAAAGCCAAAGGCTTGGTAAACCGGCCACCTGGATTCCACATCGAGCCTGTGGATGAGTTTTGTTTGGTCTGAAAATGTTGAGTCAGCATTTTAAAATCAGATGTTTTTTTTGTTTGTTTGTTTTTGTTTTTTACACGAAAATGCAGACTTCCAGCCTTTTTAAATAATAGACTCGATGGTGCTGGGGCCACATTTCCAAATAGCTGCATTTACCCAGTGCCCGGCAGCACCTGCTCCCTTTAGCCGGAGCCGGTGGCCTCTCGAGTGCCACCGTCCCCACCTCTCTTTGTTGCCACCCCTCAGCCCACTGCTCCCGTTTCCAGTCGTCGGTCCAATCCTTTCGATGTCTGGATTTGGGGCCTCTGCACTAACCCGCTTTTCGATCTGTTTTCCACCACCTTCTAGGTTTCTACTTGTTCTCCCCCAACCCGTCGGACCCCGTAAGTAATCGCCATGTTTCGTCCGTTTCTTCCTTTACGTGAGGCCTTTCCCCTCAGACAAGGTGGCTGGACTGACCCCCTAGCTACATTAGGAAGGGCGCCCTGCCTGGTTTCCCGTCACAGCTTATGGCCCCTGAGAGTCCCCGTCGCCCAGACTTGAGCCATTTCGTCCCTTGAGCGCCGAGGAGATCCCCTTTCCCGTCCCGAGAACGACGTTTCCAGGATCAGAGTTGGCACATGGGAACATTCTGATGGAGGAGCAGTGGAGGAGAACCGAGCTAATTGTGCAAACATGTAGTTCTCTGAGAGAAAGGTCCCAAAGTCCATTCATTGTCTGCTTCTGCCAGGAGCACAGAAGTCAGGAAGGCGGACACCTCCAGCCTCCACGTTTGCTCATCCCTCTGCCATTCCTCAGGGATTCCTGGGGAGGAGGGGGGAGGACAGGGCGCTCCAGGTGGCCCATTGCAGCCTGTGCTCCCAGGCTGGCACTAACGTGTCCTTCTGCCTCCTTTCCCGGACAGTACTTCAGCACCCTGGAGAGCAGCATCGTTAGCCTGTTCGTCCTTCTGACCACCGCCAAGTAAGTGCGGGCTCTGCTTTGGCTCCTGCCCTCTGCGAGTGCCCAGGGCTTTCTCTCCTTCTCGGCCCAGAATATTCCACCTCTCAGTGGGGGATGGGAGCAGCCTGGTGCGCTTGAAGCCCGTGGGGTGAGAGCAGGGGAAGGCGGGCTGGGGCGGGGAAGGCAGAAAGAGAGATGTCCTCAGTCAGAGAAGCTGGAGGCTGGCAGACGCGGGCCCCGCGAGTGACGCTCTGCAAACGCAGCTTCCCAGACGTGATGATGCCCTCATACTCCCGGAACCCCTGGTCCTGCGTCTTCTTCATCGTGTACCTCTCCATCGAGCTGTACTTCATCATGAACCTGGTGAGTGACCGTGCCTCCCGCCCCGCTGGAGCAGCTTTCCCAGCCCGCGCCGCACCGGGCACCGTGGCCACGGAGAAGCAGCGACTGCCGTCGGCAGGGGAAGGGGTCCCAGACTGTAGTCAGGTGTGGTGTGGCGGGCGGACACCCTGTCGGGACTTGAGCTCGCTCAGCTGGTTACCAGCGGGTAGCAGCCTCTGCGGGTGGTACCACGGCCCCTGCGGACCGTGCTGGAGTGTACGCTAAGGCTTTTCCTTCTCACAGCAGACACAACTATTAGCGCTGGCACTTAGGAAGCCTTGGCCAGGCACCATGCGAAGTGCTTTATGACGATTAAATGATTTTGCACAAAAACCCTGGAGGTCCTGGTGCGATTCTCAATTTATAGATGAGGAAACCGAGGGTCCAGACAGCTAGAGTGACTCATCTGCAGCTGCACGGCTCGAGGCGGCCAGGCGAGCTGGTCTGAGTGCAGAGCCCTGCTCTAAACCACGCCCGCCGTCCTGCTGCATCCACGTGCCGGAACGTCTTGTGTATTTCCACCCCTTTTATCGCTTCCATCAGAAAATCCAATACAGGACACACTCCGTTAAGGAGAACGTGAAGCCCCATGCATGCTGGGGATTTGGAGGTGTTCTGAGGCTTGGCTGGCTGCCAGGAATGTTCCTGCTGTCAGCTGAGATGAGGCCATGAGACGGTGCTGAGATCACATGTCAGTGTCGGAATTATCAGGGAGAGGCTCTTACTAAGTCTTGCATTCTTGTACCAGTTATAGAAATGGAACACGTTTTCTCTGGAGTAGACATGTGAGATCTCTTAAGAATTTGAAGTCTTCAAAAGGAAAATATTTTCTTTTTTCATTCTTCAAAACCCAAAAGAAACAGCTCTTTAGCCACATTACAGTTCTTATACATTGTTATTAGATTAGGATCATAACAAAAGATGATGTGTAATCGATTTGTTTTAATTTGAAATGTATTTCGAGCCGTGCAAATCCAACTGCAGCCTGCCGGCCAAGGCCAGTCCACTGCCTGCGTTTGTAAATAAAGTTTTATTGGCACACAGCCACGCCCATTTGTTTACGCACCCCCTGGGGCTGATTTCCTGCTACAGCTGGAGGGTCGGGCAGTTTCAACAGACCATCTGGCTTTCAGAGCCGGAAATAGTTGCTATCAGGCTGTTTACAGAAAAAAGTTTACTGGTCCTCCCTCGATTTAACGGGAAAATAATGGAGGCCCATTCGAAGGGGTGGAAAGGACAAGAGAGTTTCCCTCCAAATCTATGTCTTTCTTCTCAAAATATTTTGAAAGAGAAAGCGCTTCCAAAAAGGCTTCTTTGAGAACCTGCTCCTGCCCGCCCGTCGCCCTCAGATGATGTAGACTGTGCTGTTAATGCATCGACTTTGGTATCAGCTGGTTCCAGAAGGCTGTACCCTTGCAGGCAGGCCTCGTCATTTCCCTGATTTTGGGGGCCGCACATGGAGCTGTGACTTGCTGGGACAGGGAACAAGGGGACTGGGGAAAAGGCATCCCATGTTGCAATGTTCCTTCCTGTTCTGAGGCTGGGAGGCTCAGGACGGACTCAGCCTCCCCTGCCATTGTGCTGAGCTGAATCGGGCGTAGGACCTAGCATGTTCTTTCTTCGCTGTTTTTTTTTCCTTACAAAACTGCTCAGCTGAGAACAAGCTGTAGGTGGAGAGAAGAAGAACCCAGGGGAAAATGTAATACGATGTCTTCACGTATCTGAAGGGAGAAAATTCACAGGTGGCAATGAATGGCCTTTCTCTGCAGGGGCAGATGGGAGGGTCTCCCCAAACTCCTCTCTGGAGTGTGTGGGAGAGCGTCCTCGAGAGCAGAGGACATACTCACTGACTTTTTGAGGTCCCGCCATGCAGGAGAGACAAGGTCTCTGTGTTCTTCCCTCACAGCTTCTGGCCGTGGTGTTCGACACCTTCAACGACATCGAGAAACGCAAGTTCAAGTCTTTGCTGTTGCACAAGCGAACCGCCATCCAGCATGCCTACCGCCTGCTCATCAGCCAGCGGGTAGGGAGGAGTGGGGGCTGGGCTAGCAGAGCTTGGTTCCTGCTCCCCGTCCCTTGCCCTGGGCAGCCCCTAAGCAGGGTAGGAGTGGCAGCTTTAGAAAGCGGGAGTCATGCCTTTGCGGAGAAAAAGAAAGAGTGGGGTGCCCTGGGGTCTCGTGCTCTGCTGGGCACCCCGAGTGGCTGCCCCCAAGGGGAGGGGGCATCCTGGGCTCTGTCTTTTCCCACGATGACACTGCCATCCTCCCTCTCTCCCCAGAGGCCTGCCGGCATCTCCTACAGGCAGTTCGAAGGCCTGATGCGCTTCTACAAGCCCCGGATGAGTGCCGGGGAGCGCTACCTTACTTTCAAGGCCCTGAATCAGAGCAACACACCTCTGCTCAGGTAAGAGCACAGGCCAGGTAGGGGCGGTGTGGCCCTTCTTCTGAGGCACCCATGGGAGGGAGCTGGGCCTGAGAGGGTACGGGGGCTGGGGGCAGGGACAGACACCCAAACAGCCTTGTTAGATAGAGCCTTTAGTTTTCTTCAAGATTCTTGTATATGTGGAATGTGTTTGTCAGGATTCTTTCTGCAAGTGACTGAAGTCCAGCCCAAATCCAATTCAAGCTGGCTTGACAAAAAAGGAACGTATTGGTCTATAAATGGACTGGCCCGGCTGGCCACTCTCGAGCCATGAGTGAGGTGGGGCAGTTGCATGAGATCCATGGAAGGGATATACACACACACACGCGCACAGCCTCCGAGAACTGGCCCTGAGACCTCGATGGGCTGTCTCGGTCTCCTGGTCTGCTGATGACCAGAGCCCTTCTTTTCGATTTGGAAAGAAGCAGGTCAGCTGTAGAGACGAGAGGGAGCGAGTCTGTTTGGGCTGAACTCTTAGTCTTAATCGTTCCATTAGTAAGTCCCCATCCGTACAAGAGTTATAGTTGTCAGGGGGAGCGAAGCTGTCACTCAGTGTAGACCAAGTGGATTAAGTATTCATAGCACCTCGAGGAAAGAGATCAAAATGGCTGCAGGTCAGGGTCCCCTGGGCACCGATGTGCTGGGCCTCCCAGATGTCTTCTCCATCCCTCCCGCCCTGACCCCTTAAAGGTGACCACAGGCAGGTGAGTGACGGTACTGAAGCTCAGTGGGAGCATTCTGATTTTTTTGCCTTTTCATGTTGCTATGACAGCCTGAAGGACTTTTATGACATCTACGAAGTCGCCGCCTTGAAATGGAAGGTGAGTGTTCATTCAAGACCAGAGAGGGAGCAGGCAGTCGGCCCCGTGAGTGTTGGGGATGGGGGGTGGGGCCGAGAGGCACCTGAGGTCCAGCTCTTCCCAGCTGGAACAGCTCAGCTCTGGGCACTGCAGGGACGCCAGGTAGCCCTGTTCCCCACCTCTGCCCATTCACGTGCAGTGTAGTGTCTCAGTCAAGAGCACAGAATCTCAGACCTCATTTGTCACCATGTGACGTTAGGCTAGTTATCAAACTTTTCCTGAGCTTGTCTCTCCTGGGAAATGGGCTGACAATAATCCCGACCTACAGAGTTATTTTCAAGATCACGTAAAAAGGATGCACGTGCCTGGCCCATTTTGATGCTCGGTGCACATCGGCCAGCTTTGTTCTTGCTCGGATCCCTGAATGTTCACCTTGTTCCCCAAGGTGGCCGGGCAAGCAGGGAAGGGAAGCGGCGCCCTGGCCCTCGGGCCCGTGTTCCGGTCATTGGCCCTAACACCCTCTCTCCCATGGCCCTGTTTCCTGGTCAGGCAAAGAGAAATAAGGAGCATTGGTTCGATGAGCTTCCCAGGACAGCGTTCCTCATCTTCAAAGGTAAGGTTCAGCTGAAAATGGTGCCTTGGTGGCTGGGGACAGATGGAAGTTTCCAGAGACCACAGACAGACAAGCCCTGGAAGAGCATGCTCAGGGTGTGTGTGTGTGTGTGTGTGTGTGTGTGTGTGTGTGTGTGTGTAAGAGACAGCGTGATTACCCCAGCAGGGAAATAAGTGTTAGATTAGGAAGGAAATCAGTAACGTAAAAACCCAACCAAAAGACATTCGCGGGATACTCATTCAGCAAAGAAAATTTACAAAGTCAGATAATGAGACGGCAATGAGAATCCCCCACGCAGGGATAACCACTGTTAATTTTCTAATGTGTTTCCTTCTGTGGGTTGTTTTTCTGCGCGTTTGAAAAGCAGTCGTGGAATTACATTACATATTCTGTTCTGAACCTGCCTGTTATTTTGTATTTTGCCCATTCTCCTGTGGCAGGACGTATAGCTAGTGGATACGTATAAATTCATAGCATAAATTCAAAATTTTAAAATCAAGGAGCCCATATTATTTACTCTTCATTTAATACCAGTTCTGAAGTTCCACGTGGGGGTGTGGTTGGCTCACAGGGAGCTTCTCATGCAAAAAGCCCGAAGCCTGGGTCTGCGCCACGGACCAGAGTAAAGACGGTGTGTGCTGTCCTGTGATTTCTTCCACAGCTAGGGCTTGGGGCACGGCTGTCGTTCCATATTCTTTAGGCGGTTTTCCATTCCACTGGGATGATAGTCAAGTGGATGAGTAAGTCGTCTCAGGCTGAGGCCAGCAGTCATTTAGGTTTTGGCAGTGGTCAACAAAGCTTTGTTCTGCTCTGTCCCGGCTCCAGGTGGCCCAGGCTCTCCGCAGAGCGGTCATTCAGCACAGTCTTGTCTGGGCATCTGAGTGTCAGTCTTAGAACAGGCCCCTCCTTTCTCACTCCGGGGCATAAAAACACTGGTCGCTGCCATGCGTGAAGTACGTAGTAGGGGCGTGTGTGCTTCCGTATGAAAATTTCAATGCCGACGTTTCTTCTCTTCCGCTAGGAATTAATATCCTCGTGAAGTCCAAAGCCTTCCAGTATTTCATGTGTAAGTGCAAAATATCACAGCCCTGGGCCCCTCCCCTCCTGAGTCTCTGACTGTTCTAGAAGCTGGAGAGGCGAGAGATTTCGTCCCGCAGTCATAGTCTTGACTTTTTTATTATAGAAAATTCCAAGCATGTATAAACGTGGAGAGATTATAACGAGCATCCATGTTCCTGTCACCCAGCTTCAACGATTATCATCCGATGGCCAATCTGCCTTGTCTGTCTACACCCTCACTCCGGCTCGTTATCCCCTCTCTAGACCTGGATTGTTGGGAAATGGATTCCAGAACTACATGCAGTGTGTGATTGGCAGATATATCATTTAAGTGTGTTTTAATCTGTAGGTTTTTCTTCCATCCCTTTTTCTCCCTCTTGCAATATCTATGTAGTTGAAGAAACGGGATTATTTGTCCTTCAGTCTTGGTTTGGCATGTCCTCTGTTACTTAGTCCCTGTAATTCGATAGTTCTGTCGGAACTGTGTTGTCCAATGTGGCAGCCACGAGCCACATGGGGCTATTTGAGTTGAAGCTAATGAAAATTAAAAATTCAGTTCCCCAGTCACAGTAGCCACATTTCGAGTACTCAGCCACAGAGAGCTAGTGATTACCAATGGGGTGGCACCGATGAGGACATTCTCATTGTCACGGACAGTTCTCTCAGACAGTACTAATCTAGAGGCTTGATTGGAGTCGGTCAGTCTTTCTAAGGAGCTCTGTCTCCACTAGTGGAAAATGGTGTTTAGAGACCAAAATCTGAGATGCCGGAGGTGCTTATAGCTTGGAGTTGGTTACCATTTCTTGGGCTTTCCATGGACAGAGGAAAGATTTTTTTTTAATAAAATATATTGCTTATCTTGACCGTCCTAATTCAGATTCAGGACTACAGGGATTTTACCCAGCCTTTCATATCTAGATTCCCAGGTTTAAAATCCTGGTTTCCAGCAACACTGACACTGAGTCAGATTCAGGACTACAGGGGTTTTACCCAGCCTCATCACCCTTTCATATCTAGATTCCCAGGCTTAAAATCCTGGTTTCCAGCAACACTGACACTGAGACTCATCCGCTTCATCCCACAGCACACACAACAGTCTCCGAAAAACAGCACCAACACCACCCCGACAATGTCATTACCAGGAGCACCACTCCAGGGGTTAGAGCCAGAACCCTGTGTTTTAAGGGCACCTGGGATAGTTAGTTCCTCTCCCTGTGGGTATGTCAGCAACTGGGTACGCATTCAGGTGTCCTTATTTCATTTTGTTTTGGAGTCTTAGGGCTTGCTTTTTCCATTGAATTTTCGTTTTATAATTATGTAAAATGTGTCCGTGGTTCCAAGTCGGATCTACAAAATGAAGTATTTCATTTACATACTGTCACCTCTCCCAGTGGGAAACGTTGATTACGGTTCACCCTTGCCTTTTTTAAAAACTCTAAGTAGATGAATACATACTGGGCCTGTATTCAACTCTAAGATGAATACATACGCACATCTCCCTGTCTTAAACGATAGTGTACTTTACATACGCACATCTCCCTGTCTTAAACGATAGTGTACTTTACACACTTTTTTTTCCACCTTGCTTTTTTTTCAGTTCACAATACTTCCCGGAGACGCCGCCGGAGTGATTCTATAGAGATGGTCCTCATTTTTTTTTTATAGCCGAAGTACACCTTTTCATGGCCATGTCATAGTTTGTGCAGCCGGCCCCCTATTGATCACGTAGGTGGTTTCCAGGTCTTTGTGATCACACGCAGTTCTTCGGTGAATGGCTCTCGGTGCATGCCTGCGCTGTGCTTTTCCTGGAGTCTCTCTGGGACGGCTAGGTGAAAGGTCAAGTGCGTGTGCAACCTTGCTGACGAGGCAGTCATTTTAGAGTCAGACATCTCTAGGGAAAAGCAAACGCTCTCAAGACGCAAACCCTTTGTATATCGCCCATCTTTTAACCAACTTGAAATAATCTGTAGGTGTTACCGAAACATCTTCATCGATAGCCCTATGGCGTGACGTAGAGGGTGTTTTAAAACATCCGTAGCTGTTTCTCAGTGAATCCACTGGTCATTTAGCTCATGTAGTAAAAGCAGTCAGCGGAGAGAAGCCACCTATCATGTGGGCATGTGAAGCGGCCCTGCTCCCTTCTCTGCCCAGAAATGAACCGGGGCCTGCAGGTGTGACCTACACATTTCCATGCCCACCTGTGCTTTCTCTGTCTACCATGGACCTGTCTATTGCAGACTTGGTGGTGGCAGTCAACGGGCTCTGGGTCCTCGTGGAGACTTTCATGCTGAAAGGTAAGCCCGGCTCGGGGCTTGGCCCCATCCTGTGGGCGCACCTGACCCGCCTCTCGAGCTGCTGCCTCTCTGTCTTACAGGTGGGAACTTCTTCTCCAAGCACGTGCCCTGGAGTTATCTCGTCTTTCTGACTAGTAAGTCTGACGTGGCTTTGCTGACCAGCTCGTCTTAAGCACTGGCTTTCATTTGATTTCGGACCTCGTGGCTCTTCTCTAAAGCAGGACAGCTTAACAAGAAGGGAGCAGAAATTGAGTTTTATTCCATCCCACCCCCGTCCCGCCTTAACACTCTTCCACGGTTCTCCGCGGTCCCAAAGATCACGTCCCCATCCTGGGGTGCTCACGTCGCCCAGCCGCACAGGGCCCCTTCGGCCTTCTCTTCGGCCTCATCTCTGGCCTGTACGCCACCTGCGCCCCCGTCCGCAGCCCTCCTGATCCCAATGCCCCGCGTCCTTTCCTGCCTCAGGGCCTTTGCACGGGCTGTTTCCTCTGCCTGGTGCCCTTGTCCCCCTGCCACGCTGCCTGACATTGTCCCTCCTCCTCTTACGTCTCCACGTCCCCGAGCTCTCTGCCCCATCGTTACCCATTCTCAGCCTCGCATCCCGTCTAGACGCTAAGCCCTGCTGGAGCAGGCGCAGTGCCGTGAGCTTCGCTTGCGCACGCCCAGCACACGCGGCACAATGCTTGGCACAGGAAATAGTTGTCAGATGAGCAGACGGATGGCCGGGCCATTCCCAGAGAGGGGGAGGGCGTGTGCGGCACAATGCTTGGCACAGAAGAGGGGCAGGAAATAGTTGTCAGATGAGCAGACAGATGGCCGGGCCATTCCCAGAGAGGGGGAGGGCGTGCCTCTCTCCTTAGCAAGGCGCCCCGATTGACTAGCATCTGGGCTTGGCCCTCTCCTGGAGCCTGCATTGTCACAGGGTTTCATGGGATGACGTGGCTGGCTGGAGGGTACGCGGCCTGCAGGGGAGGCTGGAGACCTCAGAAGGATCTCCGAGAGGAAGCTGAGCCAGGCCCAGTGTGGGAGCCAGTGGTGGGGGCTGCTGCTAACCGCCTGTCCCCCGTTCACAGTCTACGGGGTGGAGCTGTTCCTGAAGGTCGCCGGCCTGGGCCCCGTTGAATACCTGTCCTCCGGATGGAATCTGTAAGTGGGGAGCACATTTCTTAGCCACGTCTGAGGCTGACGAAAGCCGCTGGCCTCCCTGAGCTTCCCACAGCACACACGCCACGTCCGCATGTGCAGAAGGAAGGTGTGAGGCCGGGTCACGGCCTCTGTCTCCTGGTTCTGTTCTGCCTCTGGCTCTGGCACTTCCTGGAGTCAGGCTCTTGTCTTACTCTCCCTGGCCCCGCTGCCCGTCCCTCCTGCACACGGCCTGAGGGTCCTCCGACTGGCCGGCCCTTCCTGAGTCATTTCATCCCCACACCATCCCCGACAACCAAGCTCTTTCCCCCAAAACCCACGTTGCCCACAGAGAAGGAGGTCCCACCACCTCCCCTGGGCAACAGCAAGCCGGTGGCTGTGAGAGACCCGAGTGGCCCTTTCCCCTGTTCCACTGAGATTTCAGGAGGTCAGGTGCCACCCGTTCAAGTTAACTCACCCATGAAATCCGGCTGCACTCACGAGGTCTTGGGTCCTGAGACAAAGTGAGTTAATAAATAGAGAAGAGTGCGGGCCGGACAGCCAACCACACGCGTGCTGTTCCGGGGTCTCCTGCAGATCCAGAGAGGAGAGGGAACCCCACCGGGTGACCCGCCCCTCCCCGCCGTGGGTCGGGGGTCGCCGGCGTCTGCGACTAGAAAGTGCAGGACCTTCGGGGGGGTGGAGGGTGGGGCGGCACTGGGCATTTCTAACCCCGAGGGGTGTGCTGTGGTGGCGCCTGGCCACGTCAGCCTCGGACCCCGGCTGCATCCCAGCCGGGCGGCCGCGGCCTCTGCCGGGCACGCT